CTGAAATAGCCTACATCTAGCCAGGCAATGTGTTTAGTGTGTACAAGACCTTTCTCAATCGCCATTTGTAAAACATCAAATTTGGCATTCATGGCACACGAATACTCAGCCACGACTGTGTTGGGTGGATATTTTGGGTATAATGGATGATTGTATATGATCCTGATTTTGTCAAGGTTCTTGAAAGCTGGGATTTCACTTCTCTGCAGTTTTATTAGGACTGTTCTGTTGGCTGGGAGTACTGACCTAATTTGCCTGTAGAAAACGAGGTAGAAATATGAATGAATTCTGTTGAATGCAAAGAAAAACTACTGCAACGACGACGACGATATCAGCAACAACAACAAAAACTACTAATACTACTACTTGTATAACAACAACAACAACAACAACAACAACAACAACAACAACAACAACAACAACAACAACAACAACTACTACTACTACTACTACTACTACTACTACTACTACTACTACTACTACTACTACTACTACTACTACTACTACTACTACTACTACTACTACTACTACTACTACTACTACAACTATTACTACTACTATTACTACTACGACAACCACCACTGCCCCTACTAGCACTACTACTAATTCTTCTTCTTTATATTCTTCTTCTTTTTCTTCTTCTTCTTCTTTACCCCCTTATCGTCGCCCTTGTCCTCGTCTTTTCTTCTCTTTCTTGCTCTTCTTATTCTTCTGCTTGTTTTCCTTATCCTCCTCCTCCTCCTCCTCCTCCTCCTCCTCCTTCTTCTTCTTCTTCTTCTTCTTCTTCTTCTTCTTCTTCTTCTTCTTCTTCTTCTTCTTCTTCTTCTTCTTCTTCTTCTTCTTCTTCTTCTTCTTCTTCTTCTTCTTCTTTGTAATGACCCTGCTTTGCATGGTCTCCACGAGTACATTGTAGCATGGACTTTCCGCTGGCCACAATGTACTCGTGGATTCCTTGGGGTTGGGTAATTACCCTGTAAAAGGTGTTATAGAGGCTTTTGGGAAACCGGAAGCACTATGATAAATATATCTCACCACTATCATATCGGCTAAGAGTCCTTGGGGTTTCTGTGAAAGGTGATGTAGAAATATTGGTTGAATCCAATTTTCTATGTAGTAAATATCTCAAAGCTGATCATCATCAACTATCATTGTTTTCATGTTGGATTCCATGGAGTTGGGTAATTACTCTGTGAAAGGTGAGACTTTGGTCTATGAAAATATATCTCAACATGCATTTTTTTAATGTGGTAGATTCCTTGGGGTTGGGTAATTACCCTGTAAAAGGTGTTATAGAAGCTTTTGGGAAACCGGAAGCACTATGATAAATATATCTCACCACTATCATATCGGCTAAGAGTCCTTGGGGTTTAACACCCTGTAAAAGGTGATGTGGAAATATTGGTTCAATCCAATTTTCTATGTAGCAAATATCTCAAAGCTGACAATCATCTCACCACTATCATTTCGGCTAAGAGTCCTTGGGGATGAATACCCTGTGAAAGGTGATGTAGAAATATTGGTTGAATCCAATTTTCTATGCAGTAAATGTCTCAAAGCTGACAATCAGCATCACTATCATCATTTCACTTTGAACCTGATAGATTAGATATAGTGACTAAACAATACTACAGATGCAATAGGTGTAAAGATGGTTTAAACTCTTCACCAGCTCAGTACAGGGAAAGCATGCGGTAAATACTGAAAGCAGTTTTAAAGGGCAGTGATTAAGGATAGTCAGGAACTATAATTCGTAGCAGTAATACATTTAAATTGATTTATTATTCCTGTAGTAAATATCTCAAAGCTGACCATTATCATCACCATCATCACAATGATCATTTCAATTGAACCTGATAGAATAGATATAGTGACGAAGCTATACTACAGATGCAATACGTGCAAAGATAAAGATACCCTTCACCAGTTCAGTACTAGAAAAAGCATACAGTAGAAAATTAAAATAAGGGCAATAATTTAGGGTAATTAGGAACAGTAATCCCAGATAATGAAGTTAGATTTTAGTGCCATTGATTCATTTAATAATTGAATAGAAAATGATACTTGATGTTCCATAAAGTATCATTTTGTTAAAAAGGCGGGAGGATGTAATGACCCTGCTTTGCATGGTCTCCACGAGTACATTGTGGCCAGCGGAAAGTCCGTGCTACAAGTGACAGCACGAGATAATTGGGTCTAGTCGAGGAAGCGAGGGGAAGCCCGAGCTGGACTCGTGGTCAGTCGATCATGAGAAGTCAGAGAAGACGGTTGTAGTATTTGAAGATGTCGTCTTTATGTCGCGAGAATGGTTAATGTTTAAATATGTCGCAAGTGATAAAGTGTAAATAATGTTTGAATATGTGAAATAAATGGACCAGAATAAACTGACAGTATGTACCAAGAAGCTGAGCGGCGTTTGTGTTGTCAACCCTAGACGTTAAAGTCGGTGTAAACCAAGGTTCTTTCCAAGTTGAAGCATCGATTTATTACATTCTTCTTCTTCTTCTTCTTCTTCTTCTTCTTCTTCTTCTTCTTCTTCTTCTTCTTCTTCTTCTTCTTCTTCTTCTTCTTCTTCTTCTTCTTCTTCTTCTTCTTCTTCTTCTCTTCTTCTTCTTCTCTTTCTTCTTTCTTCTTCTTCTTCTTCTTCTTCTTCTTCTTCTTCTTCTTCTTCTTCTTCTTCTTCTTCTTCCTTCTTCTTCTTCTTCTTCTTCTTCTTTTTCTTCTTCTTCTTCTTCTTCTTCTTTTTCTTCTTCTTCTTTTTCATCTTCTTCTTCTTCTTACTATTATTATTTTTATTTTTATTTTTATTATTATCAAGGGACGGCTGTCTTAGTTTCTCGTCCGGATCAGGGATGCGTGGGATTTGAACCTGCATATACCAAAAAACCTTATTTACGAGAAACGACCCAAGATAGCCTTCTTCTTCTTCTGCATCTCCTTCTCACTCTTCTCCATCTTCTTGATCTTCTTCTCACGTCAGGACATATATCCTCGTCGTCTATGTTCCTGTCCACGTCTGATCACCCCTGAGATTTTAATATTCTGAAATCGTATAGTAACCCAACAGAGGGAGTCTCTGATATCTTCTTCAACAGCCAAGGAAGTTATAATTCGGACACCTGTAATGACATGGTCTAGCAGCTAGACGCTCACTTACGAATCAGACGATCCTGGGTTCAGGTCATGACATGGGCCAGATATGTTTTTCAGAACTGACCTTGACTCCCAGGCCGACCCAGTCTTGAGTGGGTACCAAGAACAGTCCTGGGAAGTAAACGCGACCAGCGTGTTGCTGACCACATCCTCCATAGCGTGCCGTTTGATCTATAAAATATAGGTCTAGCCCTATATACCAAATACGCCTAAAGGTGTAAAAAAAAGGTCCTTTACCTTTTTACGCCTTTAATAGCTCCAACAGTCTTACGCAGCCTACAGTCCTGTGTGGCTAAGCAGTTGTTAGTCCGAAATCGTGTGAAAAGGTTCTTTCACTGAATTCCGGTTTCTTTTTGTGACAGCCAGTAATTGTATGATCTGTTTATTTAATCTGCATGTTTTGCTCCGTGAAGCGGCACTGAACTGACGCTGCAGTTAAATAATTAGGCTTCGGTAGTAATTTAATTTCCTGTAGGTAGACTTAATCCCGCTGGAGTTGGATAAGACATATGCTGAGAAAACCCGAGAATAATATTATAATTTTAATATAGTCAGAATGTCTTTGCACTGGAACCCACAGGGGCAGAGAAATAAAGGGAGACAAAACACACACACACACACACACGCGCACGCACACGTGGAATAGGGAGCTGGAGAGTAAGGTTAACAGGATGGTGAGGACTTGGGTATCAGCTGGATGCAATATGGACGGATAGAAGGACTTGGGTATCAGGTGGATGCAATATTGACGGATAGAAGGACTTGGCGTTGGTTGGTTGAGGGCCTGCGTCCCACTGGGACAAAGACGGCAGAAGAAGAAAAAAAGATGGTAGACTAACCTGAATGTCTCCAGATCCTCATCGTTGTCGAAGAAGGCTATTACTCTGTTAGAGAGCCAACCCCATGTTGACATCCATTTCTTGTAAGTTGTAGGCGTGAATGACGCTGTTTCACCCTTCATGAATCCTCCGATGTTTATGTACATGGTGACTATGGTAATCTCTTGCGGGGTCATAGGTGCCCGAAAACTACGGGAACAATTTTCTGAAAAAGAAGAAAAAGACATCAAAAGATAAAGTAAAGTAGCAAGTAGCAACTTGGGTAAAGTTAGTAGCTTCACAATTCCTATGAAACAAATTAGTTCAATAAGCAAGTAAAATACTTCCGTGTGGGTTCCGGGCTCCCATTGTGGGGAAAAACAAAAACAGACAAATTTCCGACCCAAAAGCAAATTGTAACACCGACTAACTGGGTGCCTCCTTCAAAGTATGAATACATCTATCTCTCTGAGGTTTAAGCAACGGATCAACATCATGGCACACGAGTGTAACCCACAAGTGCTATGTTCTTCTTCTAACTCAAGTCTGAGTTCGAAGAAGCTCAGCACAGTGTACAGGCGAAGATCCTGAAATACTTTGGGTAGATTTTAAACTCAAAATTTTGCCCAGGCAGCACCGTTAGGCTACTCTTTTAGATTTCCGCCTGCCAAGGGATTTTTTGCGAGCGCAACAATGCATCTTAAATACCTCTTCATGAGAGGCAAGGAACCAACAATCTACGTACAGATGAGTTAAATATGTGCACGCAATAGACAGGTTCTGTGACAGGACTAGAGTGCACCAGTTCACGAACAAACGGAAATTTCCACTTAAGTTTACAACCGGTGTACGCGAAGGAAAAGGAGGAAATAAAATCTTTTTTTCTTTTTCAAATCAGTGATTCACCGGATATATGACTAGACAGGATCGTCATAACAGCATTGTGGAGCCCCGAGAAAACCAGAAAACGCTCACAGAAATGAAATGTAAATGGTCGATAATATTAATCATAAACTGGTGTGAAAACATAAAAATAGATTAGATGATACAAAAAAAAAAAAAAAAAAAAAAAAAGAATTGTATAGTTAAGTAAAGGGCTCTTTTCCATGCCTTAAAGCATATTGGACATATTGGAAATATAGGGCTAGACTGTGTAGACCAATGGACACTCGGTGGGTGATGTGGACAGCATCACAGCGGCCGCCTTTACTTCCCATGACTATACCTGGTACCCACACAAGACTAAGTTGACCTGGGATCTAAGGTCGTTTAAAAAAAAAAAAAACCCGAGTCCGGCGCTGTCAGTACCAGAGTCCTGGACCTTCAGACCCTCAGGCGAGCGTCTAGCCACTACATCACGGCGGCTCCCCAGTATGAAATTACTGCCAAAGAAATGAAATTATTACGAACTTCTTATTGTAACAATCACTTCCGATATTTCTGCTGACAGAATTGATTTATTGTTGGCTTAAAGTTAGCGTTCTTCATGATGACATTGTTCCCTTTACAGGAGTGAAAGCCAGTTCAAAGCATGCTGCCACCTTGTGCTGCGAAGAGCATTTTTGTTTTGACAGTTTTTCTATTCTTATATATATATATATATATATATATATATATATATATATATATATATATATATATATATATATATATATATATATATATATATATATATATATATATATACAGCTTTTTACTGTACAGTTACTGGTTACCATAATGCAGACGAACATCCTGAGTGCAGTTTCAACATTCGGGAAAACAGATTTCACATTTTCCCAAATTATGTTTCCGTATAGGGCAACAATGGTAAACACATTGAGGTGATAAATGCCCACTTGCTATCCTAAACATTGTCGTATGACACACCACAGGAGTTTGATAGTGGAAATGAGGTTTTGAGGTTTTAAATAACGGATCAACATCATGGCACACGAGTGTAACCCTTATGTCCTCCGTTCCTCTTCTAACTCGAATCTGAGTCCGAAGAAGCTCAGTACAGTGCACAGGCTCTGTAGTACCAGCGACTATCCTAAAATACTTCAGAGAGATTTTAAACTGTAAATTTGGCCCAGGCAGTGCTGTTAATCTACTCTTTACGATTTCTAACTGCCAAGGGAATTTTTACGTACGCAGCAATACCCACGGGCGTTCGAGACCAGGGGGAATTACTGTCCACGTAATGAAAAATAGAATCACAGTCCTTACAGGGAATGAACCCTAAGCCTCTAGCACTGGAGGCGGACACAATGCCCCGAGACCACGCAGCCCCCTGATAGTAGAATTCTGTTCTCATTAGGAAAATGGCTGTTAGATTATATTCTTGATTAGAAAACATTAGAATGAACATCAAGAAACGTTCCGCAGGCTTTTAAATATATCGGGCAGTAAACGTCAGTTGACCAGTATTTGAGATGTCTGGAATTGAGTCTAATAAACAATACTCTGTCTATTTTGCTTCTTCAGGGACAGTAAGGAGAACGTGCTGTCCGAATAAAAAAAATATTGTCAGTTAAATATGACGGTTTCCCTTCTTCAAATGTCAATACAACGTGACATTTTCTTCAAATAATGGATCAAACTCACGGTAAATAATGGATCAAACTCACGGTAAATAATGTATCAAACTCACGGTAAATAATGGATCAAACTCACGCTAAATAATGCATCAAACTTACGCTAAATAATGGATCAAACTCACGCTAAATAATGCATCAAACTCACGGTAAATAATGGATCAAACTCACGGTAAATAATGGATCAAAGTCACGCTAAATAATGGATCAAACTCACGCTAAATAATGGATCAAACTCACGCTAAATAATGGATCAAACTCACCAAGCAGTTCTAGTATACCTAGCAGTTGACACTTCGTGATCACCCAGCAATATGATTGTCTCCACAGTACGGAAAATATATGAAAGCAAGAATGCGAATTGCAGAAACCGTACATGTCAGCACAGTATGATTCCTGCTCTAGGAGTTGTCTTTCACACACACACACACACACACACACACACACACACACACACACACACACACACACATTTATATAAATAAATATATATATAGCGAACAAGAAATATAATTTTAGTTTATATTACACAGAATCAATTTTAACGATAGAGGGACAGACAGACAGATAGACAGACAGACAGACAGACAGACAGACAGACAGACAGACAGACAGACAGACAGACAGACAGACAGACAGACAGACAGACAGACAGACAGACAGACACAGACAGACAGACAGACACAGACAGACAGACAGACAGACACAGACAGACAGACAGACAGACAGACACAGACAGACCGACACAGACAGACAGACAGACACAGACAGACAGACAGACAGACAGACACAGACAGACAGACAGACAGACAGACAGACAGACACAGACAGACAGACAGACAGACAGACAGACAGACAGACAGACAGACAGACAGACAGACAGACAGACAGACAGACAGACAGACAGACAGACAGACAGACAGACAGACAGACAGACAGACAGACAGACAGACAGACAGACAGACAGACAGACAGACAGACAGACAGACAGACAGACAGACAGACAGACAGACAGACAGACAGACAGACAGACAGACAGACAGACAGACAGACAGACAGATGCTAAGAAGTATTTACTATAATTTGAGCTGCCTTATCCCTGAAGTGATGTTGGATGGTCGTTGAAGCTGCGGAGGACATCTAGACCAACACGAGCCGCCATCTCAACATTAAATTGCTTCAGAGTGCCCATTATTATTAGAGGAAACCCTTATACCGGTACGTGACACCATCTTCTTGTGACACTAACCAACCATGGAAATGTTAAAATGAGAAACAAGAAAAACCTAGCCAGCCAATGTGAGGGGAGGCCCTTCTAAAAGAAAAAGTATAATACGGCGCGGAGAAGGCAGTAAGGAGTGCTAGAACGTTGCACGATGTATGAAGAACAATGGATGTAACTACAGGAAGACCCCAACAGAAAAAAAAGTTCAGTAAAAAGATGGGGTGGGCAGGGGGAGAGCTGCATGAGATAGCAAAGGAAAGAACGACTTTGGCGTGATGGTTGAGAGACTATGCTCCACTGGGTGTTAAAAGGCAGCAGAAGAAGAAGCTATGAGTAAAAAGTAACCACACTGAACGACGGGTTACACCGCTCTGAACCAATAACAGAGGTCACCAATTGTACTTATAAGGGGAAAATGTGGACACCAACAGCGGCATAAACGGTTCCATCTTTGCACTGTCAGGACTTCAGGTTATTTGGTAATTACCTCAGTATAACCCTACGATTGAACAGGCTTGCCAGTGATGTGAACGTGTGTGATTCTCATCTTTGAGGTGTTCTTCTACATCTTCAAACTTCACATTCACCAGCAGTACATTCTAGAGGAAAGTCCTGGTTTTTCCCCCTTCCACTTCTGCACACTATGCTTGTTCCAGAAATTAAGCTCTGCGTGCTCATCCGTTTTACACATCTGGCTATCTTTGGGTTGTTAATCTTGCAGACTGCAACTCTGGGAGGGACAAACTGCGATGCAGTGAGAAGGTTGAGGGCGTTATTTCACAATCACGACACACCAGGGCTCAAAGTCAGTCATGCGGAAATAAACTTAGAAAAGGCGATAAAGTCGCAGACCGCTTTACATTGACTAAAATAAGAAGAAGGCGATAAAGTCGCAGACCGCTTTACGTTGACTAAAATAAGAAGAACTCCACAGGGGAGCATGTACAGCAGGGTCAACCGATCATCAGTAGAAAGATCCCTCGTCGACGATTTTTTCCGCCCATTACTTCCTATGCAACGTCGGAAGATGGGCTGACCTGGGTCATGAAGCCAGGCCTCGATCTTCCCCTGCTGCACTTTACCGGATTTTCTCGGACAGGGACGAGACGATGTGGTAATCTGTAGCAGGTGCTGTGATTATTATGGTATTTGTCGCTTCGATAGCTATTAGATCAGCCGACTACCTTACGACCATGGTGACAAGCTTTCAGTTGGTTCATCGGACAGGTTTTAGACTTTGGAAATTAGACTATTTCAGTCGACAGCGAGACACTGGCAGACATTTATCGGACACTTTACCTTTTAAAGGGATAAGAAGCTATTTTCCACTAGGCACTAGGACCAGTCTACGAAAACCCATCCCCCATGACATTTCGTTGCGTCCAGAGCCAGCTCGAAGCTCTTTCGCAGCTTCGCCCAGTTGTT